GCATGGAGGGACATGAAAGAGCTTTGGTAACTGGTGACATATCGGGATTATAGATGGGATTCTGTCAACAATTAACATGGAGATAATTGCAACACAAGCACATTGAATTTGACCTGATCCTCAGATGCTTGATGATAGGGGATGGGTGAATGCACTAAAATGTAGAAGTAGCTAATGAGACATGATGAGGAAGCACTTTTCACTCCTTTCAGCACCTTGGTCTGTTTTAAGACAATAATTATGTGAAAACTTTTCACAAATGGAGCATGTCGCAGCAGGTCTATGAAACACTGGTCTTTTATTTTACAATTTTGATATTATTACTGCTCTAACTGGATCACTCTGTGAGCTAAAGGCATGTTTTCAGTCTCTATACTCCATTAAACGATTTATTGATTACTAAAATTAGTTGATGATTAGAAAACATCAAGTTAAGCTTTTTAAATTAAGTGTCCTTAGTGCTGTGCTAAAATCAAACACTGCATGAAATCCCATGATGTATTGTAAGATTATTTCATTTTGACAGAATGGCCTGCCAAATAATCCCCATATCAGCTGATATTCTAGAGAGTCTTAGAGGTTGCGAACTCTAGCTAAGCTGAGAGGAACAGCTTTTGACCTTTCACTCCAGATCGTTGGTCAGACGGATCATGTCTGGTGAATGACAGAGGGCTGACAAGAATTCCTGACTATAAGCTCTAAAGCTGCTAGCAGATCCAGGGTGATTGTTGCACAGCGGGAAAGGCAGATGTCTTGCAAGCCAAATGTGTTTGGTTCAAATCCGGTTTATTCCTGTCAAATGTTAATGTATCCTTGGGAATGGAGCTAAAACCAGCCCTATTGAATGGAACATACAGAACTGTATGAGCATCTCAGGTTATTTCTTTTTAATGCTTTTGAGACAGACTTGGTCCTATTCTTAATGAACAATCATTTAGGATTTTCAGAAAGTTTGAAATGTTACTGTTTTGTTTGAATCCATCTAAACTTGCACCAAATTTGGTTAAGGTCTACAACCATTTTGTATCATTTATAAAAAGGCTTTGTAAAAAAAATATATACTTTGTCATTGCAATAACTTATTTTTGATTTAAATGAAGCGGTTGAGACACAGTGTGACTGAGCAAAAATATGCGGAGGACATTTTTGGCACAAGCACTCAACTTTCACGCAGTAACAAATTGAACAAATCCACAGCTGCTTTGAAGAAGAACATATGCAGAATGGTTCAGTACAGAGCAAGCTGACAAAACTAAGTTTCTTAATGCAACTTTGAGATGCAACACCAAAACAAAAAGGTGTGAATCCTTGGTGCCACTGAAATGAGCTATTTAAGGAAAGTTAAAGGTATAGTGAAGGATTTTGTGAATTTTAGAATATACTCACCCTCTCCACTTTAAAAAGATGCACATGCAAAACTTTTCTCCTGAAGGGAATGCCTATTAAATGTGTGCTAGAGCATGAACAATCCTATTTGTCCTCGTGCACGCTCTGTTTAAAAGTTGCTGTTTGTATAGCCCATACAAGCTTACTTTCCAAAAGAAGATTTTCAATTTTTCCACTATGTCACATTCAATGAAAATGGGGAAAGCCTTGCATAAACATATCAACAGAATGATTGACAATCAGGAGGACCACTTATTTTGATTAATCTCTGTCTGTGGTAGCATTCAACCAACGTAAAATTACGCACAGAAGCAACACTTATTTGCAGGATTACCACTGGCAAGAGTAGAAATCCCTACAACTAAATGTTTTGGTTCATTCAAGGATAACTGAATTTAATCCCACAAACCCCTGGATGACAGTCATGCGCCCCTGATCATGCGTATCATTGTGTATTTATTAGGAACGAAACAATTAATCGTAAAACTCGTAATCATGATTAATCGATTATTGAAATGCCCATCAACTAATTTAGTAATAGATTAATCGTTAAATGGAGTATAGAGACTGAAAAACATGCATTTGGCTGAAAGAGCAACCCACTTAGGGCAGTAATAAAATAAAAATTGTAAATAGCCACCTTTTTGAGGTTGAGATCAATGTCCTTGGACTTGTAGGAGCAGGTTCCCGGCCGCAGACTTGGCTGCGAACTGCTCAAGTATATGTTGTAGTTCTTGGCAGGAGGGAGCAAGCGGAACCATGTCATCTGCAAAAAGCAGGGACATCCCCAAGCCAGACCCCCTCTTGCCCTTGGCTGCCATTAGAAATCCTGTTCACAAATTTTATGAATAGGACCGGTGACATAGGGTTACGATTAATACCGACAATGCAGATCAAACTCCTGGTCATTTACAGAGACTGGATAGCCCCTAGTAGGCTCTTGACTCTGTTCTCCTGAGGTACCCCCACAGGGCACCATGAGGGACATGGTCAAATGCCTTCTCAAAGTCCACAAATCCCATGTGGACCAGTAGGGCAAACCCCGTGCACCCTCAAGAACCCTGAAGAAAGTGTAGAGCTGGTCCGCTGTTCCACTGCCAGGATGAGCTCCTCCTGAAGCCAAGGTTTGAAAATCAGCAGAGTCTCCTCTCTAGGACCCTGACAAAGGCTTTCACTGGGAGGCAGAGAAGTGTGGAAGACTGGAAGACACCCTTCTGTCCCCATTCTTATGCAGGGGAACCACCTTTCTCAACAGACATCCTGGGATACTGTCCCCGACCTCTATGCAACGATGAAGAGGAGTGTCAGCCAAGACAGCCTGACAACATCCAGAGCTCAGGGTGGGTCATTACATCAAAAGTCGAGGTGTATTTAAAAATATACCTTGGCTTTTAATGTAGAACTAATTTAGTAGAGTGTGAATTATCACTTATTTTCCCTTTTTCAAGTTTTATGCAGATGTTGTAGTTCTGAAGGAGGAACGAAAAAAGGTATATTTGAATAGAGTTTTCCAATATCTCTTTCTACCCCGGTGCCATCATCTTCTCTAATGTATCATCTTTTTTTATATTACGTTAACATTTGCTTATAATAAGAAATTACCTGCTGACTGGTAACTTGTTTTGTTTTATTTTTTTATTATAATGAATACACTTTTGACAAAAAAAATGTGTTGTTTTTTTTAGATCTCTATAGTAACCTGATAATTAGAATAAAAGAAGTGTTCAGTATTTTTCAGTTATTGTGAATGAATGATGCAGTCTCAATATACAGTTTATATGACAATCTATAGGTCCTGCTTTTCTTCTTTGATTTTGATTGTTTTTTTTTTATTTCCATCACCTGCTTCACCAGTCTTCACTGGGTTTATATGGGTGATTAGACTAATTGGCATAACTGTTTGCAACCACTGACATCAATAGAAACAGAGGGCACAAAAACCATAATAAACCATACAAGCTACATACGTCTGGGATTCTGCTCTCTGTAGTTAATACATTTCTTTGTGTATGAACCAAAGAGTCTTTAGAAGGGACTGTCCTTAATTTATAAACACATGCAAATGCAATAGACCCCCTGATCAATGGAAGAACCATTAGAATGAGCAAGATGAGTAGTTGGAATGTCCCAGTCTGGGAGAATTAATTTGAATGGGAATGCATAAGCATCTATAGTGCAAAAGAGTGAATATTTTAAAAAAAGGGTAAAGAAATGTGTTATGTATTTTAACACTAAAACGCAGAAACTGAACTATAGATGATATGCTTTCCAGGGTGTCTTCCCTTTAAAATAAATAAATTAAATAACTGAATGTGAGTTCTACTCTGGAACCCGTGTTTGAACCATCCTGCATCATGCCTGAAAACAAAACACCATCATGGTTTATAAAAATCCATTTATAGGAAATGGGAGCATGCGACTTGCTGCCAAACACAAATACAGCAACACAGTGGTGATCAATTCTGGCTTCTGGCTGCACAGCACCCATCCCTGTGTGGATGTTAAAAAAATAACAATAATGACCACAAAAGGACAGGATGAAACCCCATGACCCCTGCCATCAAATTCTGCTGTGGTTCTACTTATATTGTTTCACGCTAGCAGCCCCCCACCCCCTCTTTCTGGACAACCGTCATGCTTCAGCATTTTTCCTTTAAATGTCAGCCACTGCGTCTGTTTGCACCAAATACAAGTCTCTCCTCACTGATCAGCATATATATATATATATATATATATATATATATATATATATATATATATATATATATATATATATATATATATATATATATATATATATATACATATATATATATATATATATATATATATATATATATATATATACACACACACCATGGAGTCTCGCCATCATAGTCTGGCCCACTGTGGACGCTGCGTGTCACATATTACGCGCACACCGATAGAGTCTCCGCTGGTTGGTTACTCTGACGCATGATTTGGTTTGTGAAAACCCTTTGAAACAGTTTATGGGGATCAGCTCCGTGGAGCGCCGCAGAGGAGTCGATGACATCATGTCTGTGGGGAGAGATGTAGTTTTGCGAGGCGTGAAACCAGATGCTTGTCTGGCCTCTGGTTGGTGTATGAGGCGGGAGAGAGAGGAAAGGAGGGGGGCAGCGGGTTAACCGAGGCGACTGTACACTGTGATTTGAACAGCGACTCTCTCTCTCTCTCTCTTTCTTTCTCTCTCCCTCTCTTACACACTCATTCGCTCCAAGCTTTCAACTGGCCCTCTTTTGAACAAATAGCCGCCTTCTCCCCTTTCCCACATAAGCGCAATGGCGCACTCAGCAATCTCGGTGCAGTTTTCTGTCCAGATGTGTGGAGACGTCTGCTGGAGAGAGGATGGGAAATTTGTTGCCGACAGCGTAAAAATTCGAGCGAATGCATGCATGAAACGAAATGCAGGCATGTGCACTAGAGTGGGAAGTGTAAACCGAGCGTAATGGGTTCACTATGGTGCTGTTTGTACCCAAGTCATGTACACAAGCTCCGGGTTATACCAGGTGACAGCAGGAGAAGGAGGAGGAGGAAGGACTTCGTTTGAAGAAGTTGAGGAGATATTTTTAAAGCAGACTAAAAGTTTGCCCTACCTCCACACTTGTCCCATCTGAAAGATGTGAATGATGGTCTGCCAGATCCAGACAGAAAGGCGACAGCATCTGTCCCTCTGGTAACTAGTCGTAGCCCTCCGACTGCTTAGTCCCTCTACGGAGCCCAGTCCTCCACCGGTGTAATCCTGCACAAACCACCTGAAGCTCAGGATCTGGACCAGAACTGAGGGCACCAGGACAAAGAGCAGGGTCAAGCCTGACCACATTATTTTCCGTTTGTGGTAGTAGTCGGCGGCCAGGCACAGATCGGTGCCCACGTCCAAGAAGAAGACCAGCAGCGCCAGGACGATCCACAGGCAGTCCAGCCAGAGGCGCTCCTCCCGTGGTGGTCTCCCCGCATCCCTCCCCTTCCCTCTCCCCTTCCTCCGGAGGTAATGCAGGCAGGCGCTCCGGCAGCCCCAATAGCATGACGAAGTGTTGCAGCAGTGGCAGATGTGGAAGGAGCTGCCGTCCCGTGCGTCGTCCTCTCCCGTCCCCACCACTTCGTCCAGGTTGTGCAGCTGGGCGAAACCGGTGACGACCCCGCGACCATCGGATTTCGCTGCCATCTTTCCCTCTGATGTTCCCACCTCCTCCGGCTTCCGGGGTTCGTGACGACACTTCCCTGACACCTGTGTTGTTGCACCCCAAATGTTGAAGCCATCTAAAAGCGGGGTGTCAGCGCGTCGCCGTTGCGGACTCCATCCCCAAACTGCGCGCCAGCGTCACCAGAGACGCAGCGCATCCCTTTTCTCCCCGCCTTTCACTGCAGATCTATCCCCACCTGGTCACACTAATCTCTCAGCTTAAATAATATCATTTGTAACCTCTCACATCCAGCTGTGGTCCAATACTCTTCACTTAGTTTTTAATCCATTCTGCTCTGCTCTGTTGTTTTCCTTTTCTGCTGCTCGCCTCCAGCTGCAAGCTGAGTGCCATCAGCAGACCGCAAGTCCCTCCACTGTCCCACGCCGACGTAATTTACCCCCCCTTCCCCTCTCCCATACTCTCTTACACACAATCAGACACACACAGCATCTAGGCCTACCACCCAGCTTGGTTGCCATCTAGCGTCTCCTTTGAGGCGGCCAAATACATTCTGCATGTGTGCTGCAGTTAGGGAGGATTTTGGTAAACCTATTCCTATTATGAAGTAGGAGTTTTCCTACCAGTCTCTATCCTTTCTTTTTCATAAATTATATAAAAGGCAATTAAACACAAGGATTGGGCGCAAAAATAAAAGAGCTAAACAACAAAAACCAATAACAAATTCCCCAAATACCAGAAGTGTAGCTCTAGTTGTCTACTCAAAAATGCAAGGGTAAAACTTCACTCCAGTTTTAAATCTTTAGCTCCATTCATCGCCTCTTCAGTTCTTACATGTTTGCCTTTAAGATTGGTCAAAGACAGAATCTCCAAAGGATATTATACTTGTTTTCTTGTAGCCGGAACGATGTCTTTATTGTGATGAGCAGTGTTAGTTTTGTGCCATGTTTAATGCCCTGTAGATAGGCAGAAGAGTTCTCATCAACAATCATTTGTTGCTATGTTGGTTTTGATTTTTTAAAACATATTTTTTCTTAATTTTCCTCAACAACAGATATACTTTTTGTAAACTGATGTTGAGAAAGGAAAAAAAGAACACTTAGATCTATTCTGGGATTAAAATACATGCATTTATCATTTACTATTGTGATTATTGTGGGTATCTGAGTAGTAGAGGCTGGGCAAAAAAATGGATAGATGATTGTGTTTTTTAATAGTTTGTTATTTTATTTACGTTTGAAAAAATTGGGTGTATTACTGTGTTACTGAATCTTATTTAATACTAGTACAGAAAAACGACTGAACTGTGATTAGGTTTTTTTCTTCTTTCTACAGCTTTGATTGAGGAGTGCATGGGTTAGCAAAGGCGTTATAAGTCTGTGATTAGACTGAGCCCACAGAGCTGCCATGGAGGGTCACATACAGCATGAGATTGATTGGTCCATTCCTGTTTCAGCTTCATCGCTGCTCTGCTATGCTCTGCTGTGCTCTGCTCTGTTCTGCCTGTTTAAATTTGATGGGAGCTGTCCAGTGCTGAACTTTAACCATCTCTGTGTTTTTTTAAATCCTTTTTTCAAAATCTGTCTAATTATGTTGTTCTTGATATTTGAATATTTGTTATTTAACATAATGATGTAATATAATGACTGTTTTAATGCTACTGAATAAAACTGAACTGACAGTACACATTGAAAACAAAGAGCTAAGAAATCAACACTTATAAACTAAAGAGTTGTTTCTTTATTTACTCATTAAAAATCAAAGAATGTAGGAACATGTTCCAGATCATATATAAACACCTAAATTTAATTGACAGTTTTTGAGGGTTTATTTGTTTGTTTGTTTTTTGTTTTTCTGATAGATAAAAGTATTGCATATAGAAATTTTATAACAAATGATTATAGTAAACAATCCCTTGGCCCAAACCAAATGTTTGCTGTTAAGTTGAAAATGCACTGATTGCACAAACCTAAACCTAAACCTTTCTAGTTTTTATGTAAAACTGCCAACAATGGAATAATATTGCAGAGAGGATTATTTGTGCTAATGAAACTTGCAAAGGTTAAATTGATATGTATTATTTTCAAGATAACTCCAGTAAAAATTATAAATTTCTGATATTGTCAATGGAAGATACTAGCAAAATATATATCTCCACTCATCCTCTTTAAAACCAACATTTTACAAACTTCATTATACTGTAGTAAGTGTACTTTGTTTTCATTTTGAGCTTTTGTCATTTCTAGCAAGAAAATTTGGTATCCTTAACAAGAGGATACTAAACAGCTAACAAAATCCCTTTGTTAGCTGTTATTTTTATATGTTTTTAGGCTGACTGCTTAAAAGTTTAGAATGCTGGAATGAACATAAACATAAAAGTAGTAAATGTAAATTTCAAAAGCATTTCAAACCTACAGGCACAATAAGTTGTGGCCTGTGCACTTTTAAATGTGGTCAGAAGAAGTGTCAGCAAATTAGCAAGGTCACGTCCCTTGTTCCAGGTTGTTCTATAAGTTAGAAATACATTTAGTCATTACTCTGCTAAAAAAAAAAAGGCTCTTGGGATTTTACATTCCTTTCTCAGCTTTGTAGGAATGCAATTTATGTACAAGGTACAGATTCTAGAGGACAAGACTCAGGGTCCAACTATTCTTGGAAAAAATGACAGGACAGTTTAAATGACAAAGCAGTTCTGTCAACTTCCAAGATTACTTTAAGATTACTTTAAGCATGACACAGCATTTTTGCTTCCAAAAGCAGTGTTTCAAAAAGCAGAATAAATAGAGGTTTTAGTCGCTTCATCTTTAAATCCTTTTCAAAGAGTATCTTGAATTTGAAGATTTCCTGCAAGAGTAAAGTCTGTTTCCGTAGCAATAATTACAGCTTCAAAAATCATTTTTTTCTGTTTGTTTTGCTTGTTTCAACTCAGCAGCATCTCTTTCAAGCACATGTTCAATGAAGTTTGTTTGTTTAGTTTGAGTGGTACCCATTTCAGAAGTGCTGTAAACGGAAATATAAACATACTACATCCTTTTTCTTTTGCAGTTTATATAAGGGGCACACGGCCATGATTTAAAAAAAAATCTCTTTTACATTTATCCATGAATTAATTGGTTCAATCACACTTTTAATGCTATTACTATTATTTTGCAGTTATCTATGACAATTTTTGTTGAATATACCGGTATGTCTAATTGTCTATGTACTTAAATACACCATCTTTAGCACTGGCCATTTTTGCATGATTTGGGCCCTTGGAATGACCCTCTTTTTACCACCCCACACATAAGAAACCACACCTTAAAATCCAAGATGAAACCCATTCTGCTCAATTTACCATTTAATCTGAAACAAACATGAACTTCTGTTTAATCACCAGCCAACACTCCTCTTTTTGCTGAATCCATAATCCCCATTGACAAGGTATCAATAGAATACTTGTTTATTGGCATCTCATTTACTTTTTTTGTTTAGCCTTGTTGCAGCTTGAATGCCATTCCACCCTTTGCAGATATTCCAGTTTCTTTCAATGTTAGAATGATTCATATCTTAAAAGTTTTGCACCTGTAGACCACCTATGTATATACCTATATAAGTATCTTGAAGAGCAAGACATTCAAAGCAACTACCAACATGCCCAGGTCTTCATGCAAGTTTACGTTAAACGCAGGTGAAATGAGTCCTTAAAAACTCTACTGTTAACATGGAAGTGCATGCATGTAGAAACAGAGAGACATTGGACAAGTTTAACTTCCATGAGGGGCATTCAAGGAAAGCATGTCAGAGTAAAACTTAGATGCTAGTCTATGGAGAAAGGACCTCTGCAATAACATTTTTTGTTTGTTCCTATAAAAATGAATGCACTGTGTCCCATGAGACAGAGCATTCATTTGTATTCATTTCTAACCCTGAAGTTACCAATATCCACTAAGTTTTTTTTAAACATTTCAAATATTCTTGAGAGCAGTTCATGAATGAAATGGTCTTTCCCTTGGCAGATGCTACATACTTTACGGGCTGACCAGCTTTTGTGGAATCTCATTTTTAGAGCTGTGTCACTTCACTGAGATCATCAGGCTTGACGTGTGAATTGGGCAGAAAGAAGTAGCAGGTTGGTAGATAAAGGTGGTGTGCCAAAACTTGGTGGTCTGCAAAAACCGATCAGCTTAACGCTGCAGGTTAAATTCAGCCACACATTGGGCCGGATTTATCAAGATCCAATTTTGCGTGCAGTAATTTGCGCTCGCAAACTGGAATTTTGCACGAGGGGCTGAACCATGGTTTGCGGGTGATTTAACAAGAGTGATTGCGTAACTGGTGGCAGGTGCAAAACTGTTGGAGACGCCCTATTTAAATGATGGTTTTGCGCGTTTTGTGGTTTGCGGCAAAGTAGTTTGTAGTCTGTACAAACTAGTGCATTAAGAAATTTAAATCTTACAGTGACCCCCAACAAAAATAAATAAATAAATAAATATATATATATAAATTGGCAACCTTTATTCCCTAAGGTTTTGTATTGGCCTGTGACTGTGGATGAGATCCCCCCAGCATTTGGCCCGTTGCTCCACAGGCGCAGGGGGAGAACCCCGACCCTGTCGGACAGCACTTCTGAAAAAACGAGATTGGGAGATCCCAGCTCTCGCTGCAACCGTACGCTGGAATGACCCAGATGCAAAAAAGTGCAATGTTGCAAGGAGTTTTGTGATATCTGGTATTGCGTGGATCCTCCTTGTGGCTGGCTCCAAATCCATTCGGAGTTCCCCCAACAGCTCCAAAATGGCAATGCTGGATAAACGATATGTTTTGATGATCGTTTCCTCGTTCATTGCAAAAATATTCACACGGAGTGAAAAAATGCGTTCTCTGCGTCTCCTTGCTTCATTTCCATGCCTCCTTCTTGCAACAATAACCGCTGCCATGTGTGCGCAATTACGCATACAGACCATTTGCACCTTCTTTTGAAACGTGTTAAATATAGAGTCAGATACCGTTAGCAAAATTGCGTTCAGGTTTGATAAATCAC